CATCTGAAATGATTCCAGGAAAGTCACCATTTTCCTTATCTGCAGCTGAGAACTAGGTCTCCAGGAAGGGTGGGAACTAACATGGTGTTTAAATCCTAGGAATCTTCAGCTGGAAGTGGCTCTAGCTTAAGGATTTAAGTGTTTTCATTGAATGAGAGTCATCCACCATATCTGAAAGGCTTCTTATTTTTCAATTCCATGTGGGGAGCGGGGAGGGAGAGGAAAATAGTTCAAGGGCTCTCAAGGTCCATTTCCTTCCAGGTTCTTAGGAGTTATGGTTATAATTTGGTGCCACCTAGTGTCAGAGACGGACTATAGCAGCCACCTTCCCGCCTTCCCAAAGTTAGAGAGCAGTACTGGCACCCATCATCTAGGATGGGGCTAGCTTCCTTCCAGTTGGGTAGAGCTAGCCATTCGGAGGCACTCCTGGGTCTGGGTAACAGAAAAGAAGAGGGAGAAAGGGAAAGTGCTGTTCTAGGTCTCATGGCCGTCCTTTCCTCTGTCGCTAAAATTTCTATTCTCCCCAGATTATCCCTGGAGATGTGTATTTTCCCAAATACTACAGGATTGTGTTTGCCATGTCCCCCTCTTCCCACCCCCGCCATTCACACATTTTTAAAGATGGCTTGAATACCTATAACAGATACTAATGCTACAAGATCTCTTTTTCAGACTTGACCAAGAGACACTGTTGTGAGCTTCTAGGGTGGCCAAGGGGGTAACAGTAAAAGGGCCTGGTTCCCCCTACAAGCTCAGGTTTAAGTGTCTCCTTCCGAGTGAGCAGCTATACTGTTCTAGAACAACTAGGCCCAAACTCTTTCATAAGAAATCTGTTCCCAGGGGGCTGGAAGGTGGGTATAGTGCATGCTTAACATCCCTCAGGTCCTGGGTTCAATCCTCTGTGCCTCTATTTTAAAAAAATCTGTTCCCTACACTTCTAAAAGACTAGGTGAGAGAGAATGGGGGGCCTCAGAGAATAGAACAGGTGGTGGCCCCTTTTTCCTTCAAACCCCATTCCTGAACAGAGTCAAAGTGATCAGTAGGGGGAGGGAGAGTATAGCTCAGTGGTAGAGCACATGCTTAACATGCCTGAGGTCAATCCCTCTTACCTCCCTTAAATAAATAATTTTAAAAACCCAAAGTGATCATTAAAACTAAAAACCGGATTGGTCTGATGAGGTCTCAAAATAGAGTAATAGTAGAGGGTAGATTGAAGCCAGCGCTAAGTAAGGACAAGACTGGGCTAGCGAAAAGGTGCATCTTCTGGCACTGCCTCCATCCTAAGGTACCCTGGAAGTCTGCTTTTCTGTTGTGCCCCATCTTCTTAGGCACAGCTCTGCGGGCTCTTCTGAGTGCCTGGGCCAGCTCTCAGTTTGGAGTATGGATCGTGGAAGCATGAAAATGACTGAAGTGCAAAAAGAAGGAATCGGTAAGATTAGAATGCTTCAATTCTCCGATCCCAACTTTTTTAAGTCCCAGCTCTTCCCTGGTCCCTACAATACAGAGAGGCAGGAGTGAAGTCCCCCTAACTGGACTGGCCAAAAATTTAGCAAATCTCTTTTTATCCCGTAGTTTAGCTACAACAGGGTTGCCTTTTTTTTTTAAGTAATATTTGCTATGAAACTAACAGATAAGAACAGGAACAAAAGAAAGCACAAACAAATGGGTTTATGGGTTAACTAACATTTCTTACCCTATCCTAGATCAGCTAAAGTCTAACTGTAGGTGAACTTATCTGGTGCATTATACAGGGCACCCAACCAAGTCCTTTTGTGTCAGGGCAACCTTGCAAAACAGGTGAGAGGTCAGAGATTAGACCAAGCTGCTTAGACTTCAGCCTGACATGGATCTGATGAGCCTGGCGGTCCCCGGCAGAATCGGCGTCCCACCGTTGCCTTCTTTCCTGGCCCCGGGCTGCCTTCTGGTTCTGCAGTCACCCTGGCCCCTGGGCTCCCCAACCCTTTCCTGCTCCGTGAGAGAGAAGAGACTCAGTGAAACTCCACCCGTTCACATATTGTTCTGATGTTTCTTAGGACATATGTTCTGGCAAATAGAAGTGTGCTTGTGAGCCTCATCGGAAAAAAAAAAA